TCAGCTATTCGATAAATATCGAGTAAATTAAATCGAGAGGCAATAGTAGGCAAAGAACGACCAGCCGGGCCTCAGAGAGAAGACGGGGAGGGTGGGTGGTTGAGAAGTGATCGAGTGAAAAACATGTATGCATATGCACAACCCATGGATATAGACAATATGGTGGTGAAGGCCTGGGGCGGGGGGGCAGGGGTGGGCTACAAGGGTCAATGGGAGAAAAAAAGGGGACATGTAATACTTTCAACAATAAAGATTTAAATTTAAAAAAAAAAGAGTTCCTGGCTAGTGGGGAAGATAGGAGTAGGGGTTTAGAGGATTGGAGAGTGGGGGACAGGGCAGGGAGAGTCAGTGCAGGGTTTCTGAAAGTGACATTTCAGAGTGATCTGAAGGGTGTGCAGGAGTTAGTCACAAGAAGGAGTTGGGTGAGGGGTAAGGGAGGGCCGTCGGTACAGAGCAGTGGTTCTCAACCTTCCGAATGCCTCGACCCTTTAATACAGTTCCTCGTGACCCCCATTTTCATTGTTACAAATTGAACATAATTAAAGCACAGTGATTAATCACAAAAACAGTATGTAATTATATGTGTGTTTTCCGATGGTCTTAGGCGACCCCTGTGAAAGGGTCGTTCGACCCCCAAAGGGGTCGCGACCCACAGGTCGAGAACCGCTGGTATAGAGTGTGAAATCTAAGACATAAACAGACCAGATAAACGCGACCGATGTATCTTCATGATTGAGCTTTGAACCATGCTCTAAGAGGTCACAGGTTTGATTCCTGGTCATGGCACATGCTCGGGTTGTGGCTCAATCCCCAGCAGGGGGCATGTAGGAGGCACCCTGTCGATGTTGATGTTTCTCTCTCATAGATGTTTCTCTCTCTCCCTGTCCATTACTCTCTCTAAAAAAAATCAATGAAAGTAAAAAAAAACAAACAAAACAAAAAACAACCACCTGAAAATTAGGATCCCAGCACTCTCTCCCTCCAGTGGGCATGCCTGTGCCATTCCAGTCCTCCTGTCCTTCCTCCAAAGGCACGTAAGCCCTAACTTCTGAGGGACCCCATGAGGCTTGCAACCAAGGGAGCAATGGACAGCTGCAACTCAACCTGGGCCCCCTAAGCCTGTCTCCAAGACCCTTTCTCTGACTTCCCAGTGAGCTGAGGCAGCCCAGCCTAGGTTCTCCTGTTGCTTCTTCTATGCCCTTCCTTGTTTCACTGTCCTAAGGACGCTTTTGCTGTGGGGCCAATAAATTGTTGAAATGTTTCCTTCAAGAAGACAAGAACGGATAACACAGCCTCAGCAGAGTTTCCCTGAAAAGCTATCCCATTCATCTTGCATTCTCCATTCTTACTGCTTCTTCCTCAGTGAATTCATTCAAATATTCATAGGGTATCATAGGAGAGAAAAGGTACTAGCTATTATGGAGACCACATTTCTCTTAATATATATATTTTTACTGATTTCCCAGAGGAATGGAGAGGGGGAAAGAAATAGGAATATCAATGATGAGAGAGAATCATTGGTTGGCTGCCTCCTGCAAGCCCCACACTGCGGTAGAGCCCACAACCCAGGCATGTGCCCTGACTGGGAATCGAACCATGACCTCCTGGTTCATAGGTCGATGCCCAACCACTGAGATACACCAGCCAGGCTATGGAGAACACATTTTAATGGTTGTGAAAAATAAACAGGTGAAATAAATGTTCACATATTTCTATTTAAGCTACCATGACAAAATATTATTTCAACACGTAATTAATATTAAAAAGTACCTGAGATATTTTACTTTTTTAATATGAAGTCTATAAAATTCAATGTATATTTCACACATAATAAATCTCCGTTCAAGCTAAATTTTCAATGATAACCATGTAAAATGTAGTGATGGCAAAATAAAACAAATAGTTAATTGACAAATATTTCACTTTACTTCAGTTTTATATTTTAATTAATTAAAATAAAATCAAATCACAAAGTCAGCTGTTTAGTTGCACTACCAAATTTCAAGTATTACACAATGCAGTTATTTAAGGGTTTCTTTTAAAATGCAAATGTCATTGCTTTAGGCTGAATTCCACACTGCACCTGTCTAAACACCAACATCACCCTAGAAAATCAAGATTCTAAATCAGGGGTGGGGAACGGCCTGCCAGAGGGCCATATAAGGCACACGAAATCATTTGGCTTAGCCCTGCCAAGGCAGCAGAAATTCAATAACCCTAGGAGCTTTTTTCATGGCAACATAAATCTATATTAAGTAAATTATATTAAGCGAACAATGTTATGAATATCTAAATGTCCCTTAGCAGAAAAAAAGATTCCCCATCTCTGTTAACCACTACAACATTCCCTTGGGTCTGAAGGTAAAAATTCTATGAAGAGTCAAAGAGCAGCTTGGTAGAGGAACCTAAGCCTTAATCCTCAGAGCAAAATTCACAATTCTCAATCCTGCAAGCAGGGCCTCCAGTTCCTAGCCTTGGTCAATTTTACAGAATGTCTCTAGCAGCAACAGTATTCCCACATCAGCCCCACCCCTCCAGCCTTGATTCCCCCTAGGTTACTTGAAGCAGCCTGTCTGGTCTCACGTAGCAACTTCAACAAAGAATGACCTTTGGTCATTCAACTGTCCCTCTCCAACTTGCCCCAAAACATGGAGAACTTGGAAGAAAGGTGATCCGTAGAACAAAGTATTTCTTAACAATCACCCAAGTGATAGAATCAAGTGTTTTGTTCATCCCCCAGCCTTACTCAGATAAAATTGAGCATTCCTTCCTTTACTATCTGTGCAAAGCTATTTATCATATCAACTGATTGCACTTCGTTTGCAATGCATCTCCTCATCCTGGACTTTGGTCTTGGTGCTTGTCCTCTAAGCTCAAAATGTGAGTTTTACTTTGGGGACAAATGAGCAAATCTAAGCATAGACTAGATATTAGCTACTATTAGGGAATTCTAATAATGGTATTACGATTGCATAGAATGGTCTTATTAAGAGACCTAACTTTTCATGAGTCCATACCCATAAAAAAAGAAGACAACTATTGAATTAAGAACATAGGTAAAGTGGTGTTCATTGCCTTATTCTCTCAACTTGTTTTATATCTGAAATTTTTCATTTAAAAAGAGAGCAACCAAAGGGCTTTTATGCATGCATATTAGCATATCCAATGGACACTGGCACTGAGGCTTGCCTGGGTGGGAATGGCTGGGGGGGACGGGAGGGGGGGGTGTGGGGGAAGGGGAGGGCCTAGTCAATGGGGAAAAAGAAGTCAAATGTAAAACTTCAGACCAGTTGTTCTCAACCTTCCTAATGCAGCGACCCTTTAATACAGTTCCTCATGTTGCAGTGACCCCCAACCATAAAATTATTTTCGTTGCTACTTCATAACTGTAATTTTGATACTGTTATGAATCGTAATGTAAATATCTGATATGCAGGATGTATTTTCATTGTTACAAATTGAACATAATTAAAGCATAGTGATTAATCACAAAACCAATATGTAATTATATGTGTTTTCCAATGGTCTTAGGCGACCTCTGTGAAAGGGTCGTTCGACCCCCAAAGGGGTCGCGACCCACAGGTTGAGAGCCGTTGCTTTAGACAATAAAAAATAAAAATAAATAAATAAATCATTTCTAAAAGTGGGGGGAAAAAGTTGGATATTGCCCTAGGTGGTTTGGCTCAGTGGATAGAACGTCGGTCTGCAGACCAGAGGGTCCCAGGTTCGATTCCAGTCAAGGGCACGTACAGTGGGGCCTTGACTTACGCCAGCTGTCTCTCGGCCGATTTTTAGCATTGAGTTGACAGAGTAATTTGAGTTAACGAGCTCCTTAACGAGTTCGGTCTCGGAACGAATTAAACTCGTAAGTCAAGGCCCCATTGTACCTTGGTTGCAGGCTGGCCCCCGACCCAGGGCCCTGGTCAGGGCGCATGCAGGAGGCAACCAATAGATGTGTTTCTCTCACATGGGTATTTCCGTCTTTCATTCTCTCTTCCACT